TGCAAGGGCAGAGTCTGTTGAACTCTATTACAATAATCTAAAGGTACATTGTAATTCAGACAGTGAGAAACCATACATTATTAGGCAAGTTGCTTTATGGCAGTTTCTCTATCTCTGAAAATACCCCTGATAAGGAAAAATTCTGAAATATTCTAAAGTAAGTGACAACAGGGCCAGAGAATGAGGGAGAGAGTCAAGGGAAAGTTATCAGTCAGTAGCTGCAGGCTGCAGCTAACCAGAAACTCCACGTTCCTTGATGAAATCATTTCAACAATCATCTAGAAGGTCCCCAGAACCACCACATCCCTGTTGTGCGTGAACAGTGTCTGACCACCATCAACAACGAATGCATGAGCCCTCTCTGCGGACTAACCACCTATTCTAGGACTTTCCCTGCTTCACATTAACCCACTTTGCTTATCTATAGCCCATGTGAATTTAAAGAACTTTCTTTTCTTGAGACTCCTCATAAATGTGCTCCATTGCTTGAATCGGTGGATAAGTTGTTTTTGTTAACTGGCCTTGCTGCTGGTGAAGCAGAAACTTCTTGTCCCAGGACTCAGTTCTTTTTCTGGCTGCATCTGTAATGGCTCAATAAGCACTTTTATTTTAGAGATCTCAGTCTCTAGAATTTTTGATTTGCCATCCAGTTCCCTCTGCCCTTCAAGAAACAAGAACTAAAAGTGTATTACTATTCACAATAATAAAATTCTAATGCATAATGAAAGAAGGGCAATGTTACATGAACCATCCTTTGAAAGGTTTCAGACCAGCCAACCTCCTACTAACCTTGGAACCTTTAGTCTATCAAAACCAGTGTCACACATTTTCTTTTAGGCTGCTATATTTTCATTCATCAGAGGGCAGGACTGACCCTGGATTTGTGTTTGCACAAAGGTTATCTTTAGATTAGCTTTACCTCAGTAACCTGAGTGCCTCAGGCATAATCCAGTTGCTCATGGGAATATCAATTAAGGTCCTCAATCACACTAATTAGAATGTCTTCTGAGTGTTGCCTTTGGAATTCAGCAATTTATAAACAGGCAAATTGGGAAAATCTAGAGGTATGAGGTTGTTGTGTTTTTTTTTCTAATAGCCAAAAGCAATTTGGGAGGCTAGAGTGTTTTAGCATAGCTGAGTATTGGGTCTGAAATTACTGTGCTTTGAATCTGTAATGAAATAATCTAGTTGCTCTCTGCTGACAAAGATTAATGCAGAATTATCAATTACTTTTATTAATGATTTAGATGAGGATATAGGTGGCATACTGATCAAGTTTATAGATGACACAGAACTGGGAGGATAACAATTACTGTGATGACAGACTGAGGAGCCAAAATGATTTCAAGACAGAATTTAGTGGCAATCTATCCAATACCTACCTGGAAGAATAATCTCCATAAGGTGCAATTTGATGATCAGATCAATCCTCTAATCAGAAATCTTTAGTGATTCCCTATTTCCTGTTTAAATTAAATCCCAAATCCTTACTTAGCTTGCTATTCAGAGCCTTGACATATTCTGCCCTTCACACTCCCTGCTTTCCAACAAAATCTTCTGTAGTTCTTTTACTAATGCCCTGTGTGTGAGCCAAACCGAATTATTTATAGACTAGTTCCTATTTATGTCCCATGCTTTAGCCATCTTTGAACATTATCTTCACTGAGGTTCTTTTTCCCACACTTTCCTTCTGCCTTAATTCTAAATTTCCAAATCAATTCAAAAGCGACCTCTTAATGTTTAGTCTTCTTTGATTCCCTTGGCTGGAGTAATCTCTTTCTTTTGCTAATCTTCAATAGCACTTACTGTTCCTCTCACTATTTTTTATCACCATTTACTTTGAATTGCTGGTACTTTTTTGCCCACATTTTAAGTCTCTGCTAGACTCTGCTTAGAGCTATAACTTCCATCTGATAAATCTTTGCATATTCTGTGGTGCCTTTCCATGTATATTGCTCATAATAGATGATGTTGAAGTGATTTGCATGTGTTTTAATTCCTTTACTGGGGAGAATTGGCTTTAGAGAAGGCCCTACATCTTACTGACCAGAGGCGCTCGTTTATTGGATAAATAAATGAATGAATGATGGAGAGAAGAGTTCCCTAATGTAACTGTAGAAGAATTGAAATGGAATGGTAGTGGTAAAAAAGAGACATTTAATCTCTGTGATGAAACGGTTGTCTAAAATATAATAAACTCACCTGTGATTTGTGTACAATTGTGCTAAAGAAGGAAGCACAATATGAGCTACAGAGTTTGGTGATGTGTGGTCAAGAAAGGTTGACAGGTGTTAGAAACTTGCTCTGTCATTTAAAATGACCACACACTCTGGATTGCTTGGATAGATGACCCTAATCTGTACCTTTTGTTTCAATGTAGCACTCTTAACATGTCCCATTTTAAATGCTGTGGTTATGGTCATCCTATTTATCAAATACCTCTTTGACCTTTTTAGTTGGGTGGGCCCCTGTGGTTGTGAAATGTGTGGCATAGGCTTATGTGTGGGATAATACCACTATAGTTAGCCAGATGTGGCTATAAATGTCTGTCACTTACTAGAAATATGATCTGGACAAGTTACCAAGACCTCTGTAAGCACCCTTATATGGCTGTTGTGTTCAAAACAGAAAGCGAAGGTCTTGAATATGGAATTTCTTAGTAATATCCTGGTTTCAATATTTAGAACCCTACAGATTTTATCAGGGGCCAGTTATGTCTAAGGCCAGGTAATAGGGAAAGATAATTCACAGAGTTGTTAAAATCTCCAGGCCTTCTGTATTAAAGGTCATGAAAGCCAGCTCAAGGGCGTGGTCTTGCTAGTTGGGTGTTTCAGGTGGTTATCAATAGAAATAAGGCTGAAGATCACAGAAATTGGACTCCAGCCTCATTATTTATCTCTTCCAGTGAAGAGAGCAGGCACAGCAGGGCATGAGGTTTATACATTTCCCCTTACTAGACATTTAGAGTGTGATGGACTGTAGACCAAGTCTGAATCCAAGACTTCTAGATTTTCTATTTATCACCTGGGTCATAAAATATTTCCAATTGGGAATAGACCAAGGGAATGTGAAGAAGCATAAGGAGATAAAATTTATTTCCCAGAAATGTGACTCCTGGTGAAAAAAGTCCAGGAGAATTTTTTTTTTTTAAAGTAGGTGATTAAGAGACAGTTCTGGAGTTGGACAGCTGGAGTTTTATCATTACCACTTTCTAGCCAAAGGATTTTGATTATGCTATTTAAACTTAGTTTCCTCATATGTAATATGGATGTTAAAAGTAAATCATATCTTACTGGTTGTTTCTTGCAATTATATTTGTCAATATTGTAAAACTCATACAGTAGTACCTGGTCTACAGTCAGCATGCATGTGTGCTAATTATTATTTAAGCACTGAGAGGAATGTGTACTCCCCCTTACCTTTGTATTTATGTTGACAGGATGGGACTTCTGTGGTGTGTAATGAGTTTCTGCTTCTATGGGATACTGAAAAGCGATGCCTCAGGTAAGTGAAAGGCTTTTGACAATCTATTAAAATGGAAGTTATGCACAGGGTAATGTACCAACTCTTTTTGAAAATGAGTTAAGAGAACATTTTATTTCCACTGTCTTCTGTGGCACAGAACCACAGTATGACAGAATGACAGAATTTTGGCAATGGGAGGAACCACTGACGTCTGTAGTCTTGATGGGACACAGTGTACTTGGTGTGGTGGTCTGCTGTACATAAATATAGGAATTTTCCCTCACCTTTGCATCCAAACCAACTAGAATCCTGCTTCTTTTCCTTACCTCAGGTCATATGGGGGGAAAAAGGCCTCCGTGGTATCAGTCCATGGAACCCTTCTAAGAACAAATAAATAATGATGGGTTCCTGCCATATTACTTCTATCAAGGAGTGAAACGGCCTGTCATTAGACTTTTTCTTTCTTTGCATGTTGTTTTATAAGGAAAACTAACCAAGCCCTTCATTAAGTTTGCATGACCAAACTCAGGCATCATGGCCCTGGATCATATGAAATCGGTTACAAAGAACTTGAATGTAGGTCTTTTTAGGTCTCTCTGATCTCCAGAATTATTGCTTAGAACCACTCTATGGTAACTCTGCACAGTGATCATCCAACTGAAGCCCATTGTGCCTGGATTGACCAAAATTCTTTTTAGTATGTATACCTGAATTTTGTCTCTGTCATCTCCATACATTACATTGGTTCAGTTGATTGATTTAAATAGAAAATACCTTATCTAATGATTCTCTGACTTAATTCAGGGAATTTAGGTATCTTTGTTTTTAAAAAGCTCCCCATCTAGCTTCCCTGAAGACTATGGACAATACTTTGAATGTCATTGCTTTAGTTCCTCTTCTATGTGAAAGACCTTTGGAGATGTTAAAATAATGATCATGTAACCGTGACTGGTGTTCCCCAATATATGCCTTCAACTGTTCTTCACATGACATGTATTTGAGCCCTTACTATCCAGATCATCATTTCTGGGTATGTTTCAGGTTTCCTTTGCCACTTAAAGCATTTTATTGGAGGTCAAAAATAGCACTAATGGGGTGGGGTTATAACTAAGAACACAACTTAAAGCTGAGAAAAGTAGAGATAACTTCCAACCCTGTTGGCCCTTGGAGGCTTTACAGAGGAAAGCATATATGATAACCAGGGTGATATTCAGCCGCACTGTGTTGGTATACAGCTCTATTGGCTGTTAGACCAACATCTGTCCTGCTTGCTTGAATGTCACAGTTGGCTGGTCAGTTGTGATTGTCCTGACTTTTAAATATGTTGAATGTAACCCCTGATTATCATTGGTTCCTATTTGATTTAGTTCTATGCTTGAATGTTACCTGCTTACAGAGGCCTTCCCTAACCATCTTAACTATAATACCTCTGCCAGTCACTCTCTATCCCGCTTTAGTTTTCCTCATAACACTCATTTCATGACGTTCTATTAACTCTTTCTCTTCACCTCTTTGTTTTCCCCTCTCCCTCCTTGTCCTTCTTCCTCCTTTTTTTCCTCCCCGGCCTCTTGTCCTCCTCTGCTTTCTTCCCTTTACTCTCTCTTTCCCTCCTTCACTTCCTTCCCTATTTCTCTGTTTTTGCTACCCAAGGACAAGGACTTGTCCTTTTTGTTTGTTACTCAAACACTTGGAATAATGATTGACACACAGAATGTGTGTGTGTGTGTGTGTGTGTGTGTGTGTGTGTGTGTGTGTGTGTGTGTGTATGAAATGGATGAAAAATGTCCCTTCACATTCCTTTTTGCCCACATTAGCCAGTTTTATAATGGAACTTCTTTGGACTCATACCAGGAATTCATCAATGTGGTTTTATGTCCTACCTCACCTTGAAGGAAAAAGGGAGGGGTGACCATATTACTCCTGTTGAGAGATCAGTGAAGTCCCAGAATTGTGCGTTGCTGGTGCCTCCCCAGCGGTCCTGGCCGTGTTGCTTTTCTGAATGACCCTTGCGGTAATCCATCCAAGGAGCCCGCTCCGCCCCCACCCCAATGCCTTTGGAAAGGGAGCTTTCCACCCAGGAACTGTGACTCATAGTTCTGCCAGGGAAGCTGACTTCTTGAATAAGATAAGTTCTCATACCAGCTCCATTGAGTCACCACAGGGGCAGGAAACATGTTGTAATCCCCTCAGCCCATCTGGCGCATACTCATTTGCCTTCCTTATGAAAAGGTATATTGTGTCTATGTCAGTGGTGCACTTCCTAGTTGGAGGGAGAGGAACAAAAAGGAAGCGTTGTTGACAGAAATACAAGGGGCAGCTAGCTCTGGGCTAGGAGCGGAAGATGGGTCACCATGCACACCGGGGGACCAACCGACCTCTTGTGCATCAAGGTGTCACCTCATGCAACCATGTGGATGTTGGCAGACCTCTTGTTCTTTCATGAGGCCCCTGAACATTCAGGTACCTGTCATAATAGAATCTCAGGACTGACATGAGGAACAGAGGAGCAGCCACCTGAAAACCCTACGGCACTGCACGTGCATAGGATGTTAGTAAGAGTTTCACCTTGTTGTTCTGGGCCCTTCTCTCAAAGGAAGCCCCAGATATTAAAAAGGAACCATAACAACGTAAGAGTTTTAGTTCCATTCAGTGTGTTTCCAGTGCACTGAACTGAACTTCAAAGAACACATTTCTGACTTCTGGTAGCAAATGCTGTGATTTCATTATTTGCTCCGGGAACAACATTTTCATCTCATGTGGTGATAAAGGCAAATAATCAAAAACATACATTCACTTCTTAGATAATTATAATGGTGATAATATAATTGCAATGTGGTAGTTACTGTGGTAATAATAAAGCTCCCTTTGATGAGAAAGCACTTCTCATTTTACATATCTGGTGTCATTTGCCCCTTACAGCCAAACCGTGGATAGTCAGGCTGTTGTAACTCCTTTTTCAGGCTAAGAAAATTAGAGTCAAGGTAGTTAAGTGAATTAACCAAAGTCACACAGCTAATAATTAGCGTAACTATGACTTCCACTAGTTCCTCAGTTTATCAAACGCGTGTAATATTTTCTAAATATACTCCCCCTGGACTTCACTTGCATAAAAACAACTTAAGGACATTGAGATCCAAGGTAGGTTTTCTTAACAGTTAAAAAACTGCTCAACAACAGGTTTTTTTTTTTGTTGTTTAGATATAAAGTACCTTCACTCTGCCCACCCCACCACTTTAGATGTTTTTTTTAGAAAAAAAAATTATTGTAATATAAGCTCAGAACTCAGTATTCCTGTTTTTATTTGTCCTAGTATTAAACATTTCCCATGCCAAACTCAAAGGAGTTCTCCTTTACAAAAGTTCCAGAAGAAAACTTCAACTCCTCACACATTTCTCTTTTGGTTTATTTTATTGGAAGCATGTTAGAGACTGAACTGTTAAAGCTGCCTTCAGGGTAGAAATAAATATTTGGAACTTGGAATTCCAAGTTGAGGAGATAGTGAGAATGTCACCATGTATATATATATATATAGTATGGTGAATTTCTAAAATATTGCCACATCAAAATTATTTACTACACAGACCACATAAAAAAATGATAGCAGTGCACTTCTTCCCCCAATGCACATATACAAGTCTTTGAATACATTTTTTTATTTCAAAGTCAACATACAGCTGACTGTGTGTCAGGTGCAGGGCTAGATTTTACAAACATTATCGTGAACTTCACAGAAAACACTGTGGGAGGAGGAGCTAGAGATTTTACACCCCTTATGTAGTTTAGGCAGTGAGGAGCCAGGAGGTAGCCTGGGTTAGCAGTGCTCATGGTGGCATGCCTGATAGAGCTTTTCAAGACTCCCTTGACTGCAAAAGGAGAGCTCTTTCCTTTATACACCAGACCTTTAAGGACTTTGTTCTGCTAATGGAGGTAAGATCTCCTGGTTTCTTTCTGTTATTTTTAAGAACTTTTCAGAGAGTGGAAATAATCTTTTGGCTTACTGAGAGTAAATTACACTACGCAAAATAAAAGAAAACACTCTGGTTTACCAGGAATCAAGAGACATTGGTAAAATTCTGTTTTATTTTGTGAGCAGTTTAATGGCATTAAAGAAGTCATTTAATCACTCTGTTACTCCGTCTGTACATATAAAACCAAATCAGCCACCAACCAGCAATAGCAAAGGTCCCACTGATTCTGCCTTCTTTCTTTTGGGCATTATTATACATCATGGACGTACATAAATAATTCATACATAGTATGTACATATATGAATAATTACTTAATTTAAGAAATTTCTATGACAAGTGTTTAATCATAATGATTTCACTTCATTTTAAAGATCATATGTTTATATGTTTAACCATTTTATATTATAGAATCCAGGATAAATGAGGGATAATTCTTATTGTAAGCACCTTGCAGCAAAGTCTGAGAGGAAGAAGAGAATATAAATACCAAAAAGAATGCCGTCAGAGAACAGAGAAAATTACTAGTCCTGTAGGGAGGTATTAGGGATGAATTCTCTATCAAATAGCAATTGCTCTTTTCTAGTAGAAATACATCTCTTATCTGGTGACAAAATAGTGCAGGGTGCCTGACAGAAGAGTGTAAAGGCATTTAGAAGCCAAGCTGGAAAGTAAGGTTGGGAACAGATTGCGGGGGACAGGATTCCCTACAGGTAAAGAGAATATTTATGCTTAATGTATTTTAGATAAAGTTGGCTAGTTCCTTTTTTAAAATTTTAATTTAGTCTTATTTTGTAAGGTCATATAATATTTTTAATACTGTGTAATGGTTCTTTCAGCTTTTGGTAAGGACTCCATTTGTTGCCAGCCCCAGTGGCCTCATGTTATTTGAATGTGCTTTTTGAAAACCTCCATACTTGGATGTACTTATGACATTCCATCTTGTCCCTGTTGCTCATGGCTGGCCATCCTGAACACCTTTCTTTTCTATGTAATTTTGTTCAAACATTTGGAGAATGTCTGAAGAATACAGTTTTATTTTATTTTTATACCTAAACGTCATTGGAATTATAA